TTGGTTTCCTTGTTCTCTACTTCTTTTATGTCCTTGCTCTGTTTGTGGTTGTTGTTGTGCAGGGTTTTGAACTGTTGGTTGTGCTGGATTTTGAACTGTTGGTTGTTGTGTTGGTTGTTGTTGTTGTTGTTGTTGTTGTGCATGCCTGTGTCTGTGTCCATGTGACGATGTAAATGTTCTAGGTAGTCCTGGTGCAGGTGCTTCTCTTGGAGGGTTTGGTGGTATATAAGTTCCACCAGCTGGCACATATGTTCCATCTGCAGCGTAATGTCCTACCTGACTTTTCGTTTTTAAGAAAGCATTTACTAGGTCTGTTTTGGTCTGTTGTAACTCTTTTTCTTGACTTTTCACAACAGTTGCTCTAACGGCGTCATAGGCACTTTGAACTGCCTGTCTCGTTGCTGCATCTGTTATTTTCGTCATATTTTGTGCTACTTCTCTTAACTCTTTGTCGAAACCTTCAGACTTCAGTTTCTTTCCAGATGAGAAGTCGTTCACTAGTTTCACCTTACTATGAAGAGCTTCGAAGGCGTTCTTAAAGTCAGCATTTGTTAAAGCTTCATTTGAACTATCTTCATCCGCTTGTATTTTTGTCCTTATCGACCCTATAAGCTGGGCTGCTTTGGCGTTGGCTTGGGCATCTAACCAGTCATTGTTAGCTTTTATATATTCTGCGCTTTTCATTGCCTTTTGCATAGCCGCGTCGTCATTTTTACTTTCTTGTGCTAAGTTTTCATACTGTACGGTTTGGTTTTGCAACTGTAAAAGTTTTTCTGCCTTTACATTTGCTTCAACTTCTTTTTTATACTCATCGCTATCCATATATGTCTTCAGGGCTTTTTGTTTTATCTCTTCATCTTTCAGTACTTTATATTGAGTAGTATGGTTTTTCAAATTTATGACATCTTGTTCCATTTTTGCTACTTCTGCTGCTTTTTCTGACACTTTTTTCGCATATTCCTCTGTACTTAGTTCTTTCAGTTGTTCTTCTTTCTTCTTTTTCTCTACGTTTAACTCATTGAGTTTCTTTGTGTGTCTGTCATATTCTAGTTTCTTTTCGTTTTCACTTATTTGCTTCTGTATGTCTATGTTTGACTTTTTTGACATCTGTTATTTGATTTTTGAGTGAACTCAAATTCATTTGACTTTGAGGGTTATAGGCTGTTCCGTCTGCAGCTCCACCATAGCCTGCCATTTTCGCTAAAAGTGCCGCTCTTAAACCACCACTCTGTGCACCAACAACTCGGTTTAAAAGCATAGGATTGCTTGACATTTGTTGCAACATAGTGGGGTCATTCAGCATTTGTTGTTGCAACTGTTGTTGTGGTGTCAGTTTTACTATTGGATGTTTCAATGCTCTCTTCCTCTTACGTATATTCTTACGTAGCTTACGTGGCATTTTAAGTGAAGTTAAAAAGCGGCTTTTGACAGATGTTTTGTAAAGACTTCTTCGTAAAGACTTTGTTGAGACTTCTTCGTAAATGAGTGTAAATGACCCAAAAATATATTTTAGGGTAGAAGGGTATATCTACCCCGTTTTCTACCCTCTTTTCTACCCTCTTGAATTTTCATGAATTTCTTCGTAAAGACTTTGTTGAGATTTCTTCGTAAAGACTTTGTTGAGATTTCTTCGTAAAGACTTTGTTAAGACTTCTTCGTAAAGACTTTGTTGAGACTTCTTCGTAAAGACTTTGTCAAGACTTCATCGTAAAGACTTTGTTGAGATTTCTTCGTAAAGACTTTGTTAAGACTTCTTCGTAAAGACTTTGTTAAGACTTCTTCGTAAAGACTTTGTTGAGACTTCTTCGTAAATGAGTGTAAATGACCCAAAAATATATTTTAGGGTAGAAGGGTATATCTACCCCGTTTTCTACCCTCTTTTCTACCCTCTTGAATTTTCATGAATTTCTTCGTAAAGACTTTGTTGAGATTTCTTCGTAAAGACTTTGTTGAGATTTCTTCGTAAAGACTTTGTTAAGACTTCTTCGTAAAGACTTTGTTGAGACTTCTTCGTAAAGACTTTGTCAAGACTTCATCGTAAAGACTTTGTTGAGATTTCTTCGTAAAGACTTTGTTAAGACTTCTTCGTAAAGACTTTGTTAAGACTTCTTCGTAAAGACTTTGTTGAGACTTCTTCGTAAAGACTTTGTTGAGACTTCTTCGTAAAGACTTTGTTGAGACTTCTTCGTAAAGACTTTGTCAAGACTTCATCGTAAAGACTTTGTTAAGACTTCTTCGTAAAGACTTTGTTGAGACTTCTTCGTAAAGACTTTGTTGAGACTTCTTCGTAAAGACTTTGTCAAGACTTCATCGTAAAGACTTTGTTGAGATTTCTTCGTAAATGACCCTAGTAGTATATTTTTGGTGTAAATTTCATGAAAATTCAAGAGGGTAGAAAAGAGGGTAGAAAACGGGGTAGATATACCCTTCTACCCTAAAATATATTTTTGGTGTAAATTTCATGAAAATTCAAGAGGGTAGAAAAGAGGGTAGAAAACGGGGTAGATATACCCTTCTACCCTAAAATATATTTTTGGTGTAAATTTCATGAAAATTCTGAGTAAAATGACAGATGTTTATATGACACTTTCTCCGGTTTATAGGACCTCTCTCATATTCTAAACATCTTCGGGGCTAGAGGGCACGAAGTGCCTGGAAGCCCCACTACCTTTTTTTTTTTTTTTTTTTTTTTTTTTTTTTTTAAATAATTATAAATTTCAAGTTAAATTTTAATTTTGATAAATAATTTAAATTTCAAAATATCAAGTTCAGTTCGACTATGTATGTAGTAATTCCTCAATAAAGTGCCAAAACCCTATTAAAAGATATGAACATTTTCAACATTTTAATGTTTTTATTTAAAAATTTCATGGAATATGAGCTTCAAACAATTATTATGTAAATAAAAATAATTAAATATATGCATTTATTCGTATTACAACCGTAGTAAGTCGATTCTTCCTTTCTTCTACTGAGTTTTGAATTTGATTTCGAATTGTAAAGAGATTCAAAGGGAAAATACTAGCGGATAAAAACTACCTCCATGAAAGGGTCATAATGGAGTCAAGTTGTATTTTTTGATATTTTTTGCTTTTCGAGCCTAAATAGGTAGCCAAGATAATGCCTAAAATAAGGTTCTAAATTCTGAAGTTTACATGATCCTCTCGTGTGCACCCTTAGCTTTTTCCAAAAAAATGAGAATTTTATGATTTTAAATAAAAACTCTGTAGAATTGATTTTCATTTTTTGATTTTTGAAAAAAATTTGGAAAATGAACTACAATTGCGGACGTATATACAGATACTGTAATATCGAATTTTCATAAAATCTTTTATTAATAAACCATTTGGCACATTTCGGATTTAAAATTAAGATATTTTCTACTTACAATATGATAAATAGAATCCCTTTTGTTTGTAAATAAAGTAATTTTTATTATTTATTGCAATTCTCGATCATTTTGTTTGGCATCATTTTATCTAAGAGATATTGATGCATCGTATAGAAGGCATCATGTTTTGATTACACCAATAATAAATTTCTAGGGATTATAATTTGATAATTCGAGAAATTAAATCTTTTCATCTTCAAATTCTCGACATCAAAATGGGGATATTCAGAATATATTGATACATATGTTATTAGATAAACAAAAACGATCAAATTATAAGTCAATTATTCGCTCAAATGTTGGAAATAAAATTATATTTTTTTTCAATTCTCAAAAAATTAATTAAAGGTAACAGAAATCTTTTCAACGTGTGCCGCTGCAAATGAAACCCAGTACAATGAGCGGAATTAGACAATTCATCCCATTGACGATGTCAAATGCGTAAAAACCCTCAAAATTTTGAGAGAGTAGCACTTTATTCTTTTAATTTTGATTATCATAAAAAGTAAAAACCTTTTCCTTTTTTTTTTGATAATCAAATAAAAAATGTGACAAAAAAGATCTAAAAGCCAGATCTAGTAGGTATTACGTTCTTCCGTTGAACCTTCTGCTTTCCGATCTCCTCTTGTATTTTTGTCGTCATTTTTTTTCAAATAAGAATTTCCGTGTCAATGAATTAAAAAAAAGAGTGAAAGAGTAAATAAATCATGGTAAAATTACACTGTTGTTGGTGCAACAAGGTTGTTCCTGAACAGTGCACCCTTAATGATCGAAAGATGATAAAACATATTGTATTACTTGGAAGGTTGAATTTGTCAGAAATGTAAAGTAATTGAATATACTTTTGAGAGATAAACCGTAAGGTTTGCGGGATCATGAAATAAATAATGATTAAACTGATTGAATTCTGTATTAATTTCAATATGACAAACCTCACAACATTTGAAAGCTTTCAACGTGCATTTAACCTATATAATCATAATGTTTCAAATTATATGTTGTCTTATATAAATCCAAAAAAGTGGGCGTTTATTTAAAATTTTACAAGAAATCGACTTTGCATCTTATTCGTATTATAAGTGGAATTAATTTAGAATTTCCAATTTCCAAACAAACAAAATTCATTGTAAAATTGCTTTTTGAATCGTTCTCAAAAATTATTTCCAATACATTAAAGATATCTTTCTATTTTTATGTTTTAGTATGATTTTTGTTAAGGACATTTCAACCAAATCATTCGCTTTTTCAATATTTCTTAAATTCTGCATATCAAAAATAATGTTGTATTATTCATTCACCTATATAACAAATTTGAAAATATAAATTGATTATTACTAACGATTTTTTCAATTCAAATTCGCAAAATTACCTATTATTATATTCCTAGTATATTTTTCCAATTTATTTTTCAATTATCTTTCTCTCTATTTGATTTTTCTTTTATTCTCCCTCTCAAAAACTAATTAAAAAAAACATAAAATCTTGACTCTCAATTTCCGCGTGAATATTTCGAAAGTATATATAAATAATATACTACACCCACCAGTTTAAAACAAAAAATTTAAGTATTCGGCTTAAAATTTTGCTATCGTTATTTCATTTTTCCAATATGATGGATTATTATAGATCTTCACCACGACGTTCTATTGGTGTCTCACGTTCAGACATTGACTTTCCGATGATTGACAATCTCCCTGCTCACTGGGATTTGCTTCATCCTTCAGATTTAGATCAATACGTACAACTTCGCACAAGTTTTTACGATGAGATCAAAATGTCAAAGAAAGGCGAGCGCTTAGAGTCCTTTATCAAACGCCTGAAACGCATTCGTGAATTCGTTGAACGCGGTGATGGCGATGATTGGAAGCGAGGTTTAGTATGCGGAATCATTTTCTTATCTAATGGAATTGCTATTCACATTCAGCAATTCCGCTTGCTTCTAGGAAAGTGCAAATCCTCTATTAATGGCTCTCTCCAGCAAATTGGATTTATTGCTCACCCTCAAGGTGGCCCAATCGAAGAGGAGTTGTGTGATAAGGTTCCAATCTTCCGCAAAGAGCACAGTGAGGTTAAAAAGTGGACAGTAAGAGATTGCAACGCAGAAGTCAATCCTCTCAACGAGAATACCAACAAAACCGCGGTTACTCATCCAGAACCAACAGTACAAGCTGTGATTAACCAAAATGCTATGCCTGCACAGAAGGAAGAGAAGATCCTCTCTTGGGATGCCTCATTCTTCCCAATTCCAATTAAGTTCAGGTACAAATACAATGCACTGTTCAGGAACAACCTTGTTGCACCAACAACAGTGTAATTTTACCATGATTTATTTACTCTTTCACTCTTTTTTTTAATTCATTGACACGGAAATTCTTATTTGAAAAAAAATGACGACAAAAATACAAGAGGAGATCGGAAAGCAGAAGGTTCAACGGAAGAACGTAATACCTACTAGATCTGGCTTTTAGATCTTTTTTGTCACATTTTTTATTTGATTATCAAAAAAAAAGGAAAAGGTTTTTACTTTTTATGATAATCAAAATTAAAAGAATAAAGTGCTACTCTCTCAAAATTTTGAGGGTTTTTACGCATTTGACATCGTCAATGGGATGAATTGTCTAATTCCGCTCATTGTACTGGGTTTCATTTGCAGCGGCACACGTTGAAAAGATTTCTGTTACCTTTAATTAATTTTTTGAGAATTGAAAAAAAATATAATTTTATTTCCAACATTTGAGCGAATAATTGACTTATAATTTGATCGTTTTTGTTTATCTAATAACATATGTATCAATATATTCTGAATATCCCCATTTTGATGTCGAGAATTTGAAGATGAAAAGATTTAATTTCTCGAATTATCAAATTATAATCCCTAGAAATTTATTATTGGTGTAATCAAAACATGATGCCTTCTATACGATGCATCAATATCTCTTAGATAAAATGATGCCAAACAAAATGATCGAGAATTGCAATAAATAATAAAAATTACTTTATTTACAAACAAAAGGGATTCTATTTATCATATTGTAAGTAGAAAATATCTTAATTTTAAATCCGAAATGTGCCAAATGGTTTATTAATAAAAGATTTTATGAAAATTAAAAAAAAAAAAAAAAAAAAAAAAAAGGTAGTGGGGCTTCCAGGCACTTCGTGCCCTCTAGCCCCCCGTCACTTTTCTGTCACTTTTCAGGAAAAAACATTTTTATTATATATATAAAATGAATTTTACAAAACCACCGTTACCCTTCTTTGGAAATAAGAGTAGATGTAAAGATATTCTATTGAGAGAACTTAAGAAACTACCGAATGGTCTAACATTTGTAGACTTGTTCGGTGGAAGTTTCTATATATCTCATTTGTGCCATACAATATTTCCTGACTCAAAGATTATATGCAATGACTTCGACAACTATATGAACCGTCTCAAACATATACCAGACACAAACAAAATATTGAAAGAGTTAAAAGAAAAGATACCTATAGGTAAGATGGAACGTATACCATTAGATAAGAAAAATACTGTCAGAGAGGTTTTGAAAAAGGCAGAGTATATTGACTGGGATAGTATATCTGCTAGACTATTATATAGTGGTGCTATAAGAGTTCATGACATTGAAACACTTATGTCAAAAGTTTTATATCTTAACTATACAAATGTTTTCAAAGAGAACATAGAAAAATATATTGAGGGTATAGAGTTTGTGAGATGTCATTGGACAGAGTTGTATGAAAAATATAAAGACAAGGAAAATGTTTTCTTTATAGTGGACCCGCCGTTCTATAACACATGGGATTTTCAATACCAAGTAGACTGGACTTTGAGAGACTCTTTAGAAACTTTAGACGTTTTACATAACCATCCATGCTTTTACTTTACATCCGATAAAAGTGGTTTGGAAAGTGTCATGAGATGGTTAGAGGACATACATGACTATGAGTTTAGATACGATAAGATAGAATATGAGAGAGGTCCTATAAACTGGAGAAAGTGTCATAACAAAGAAATTTTACTAGTAAGTAAATGTGGTTTGAAATAGGACTACTTGTTTTAGGTTTTTTCCATTGTGTCATTTACTTATTTGACGTGGCAGAAAGATATAGAGAATATGAAGATGAACCAATGCCTGCAAATGTTCAGCATATGTACTCGTAAGAGATATTTTTATCTAATATTAAATGGACGCACAGAACTTAGCGAATGCACAGCAACCTGGACAACCAAACCCAGAGAATATTCCAAATGAAGTTAGAATACAAACTGCAATGGCAAACTATGGTCAAGTGCCAACAGATGTACAAATGCAAACTGCCATGTCAAATGACGCTGCGTTAGGTTTGCCACCATGGTATGCAAATATGAGATGGAAAGAGTTTTATACAAACCCCGAAGTGGGATATAAACAACTCTATGCAGATGACGCGAACACAGGAGTTGACCCAGAGTATGTTTTCTACCAGAGGAGAAATAGAATGTATGAGCTCCAGTTAAAGAATGCTATGGAACTCAGAAGGAAACGTAAGAGACTAGGTGGACATTAGATTTTTACATATAGTAAAATGGGTTTCTTTGGAAGAATAGGAAACTTCTTTCGAAATGTTGGAAGAGGTATATGGAATGGAATAAAATCTGTCGGAAGAGGAATTTGGAACGGAGTCAAAAATATTGGCAAAAGAGTAGGTCAGTTCGTTGGTATTATACCTAAAGACCCTGAACCAGAAGAACAAGCTCCTGTTATACAACAGCCTGAACCTGCACCACAGTCTAGTTGGCAACCAAATCCAACACCTCAACCGTATTAAAAAATCATATTTTTACCGTTCGATAGTAGTTGTATATGAAACTAAGTTCTAAGTAAAACGCGTGGTATAATGGAATTATTCTCTTTCTTCCATCTGTAGTAAACCATACTTGAAAGTCTGAAATACTTCCACTTGGTGGTTCGTATAGCTTTGTAGGTTTTTCGTAAAAGTCATTTGCCAAGCATAAAAAAGAGTTTTGTGCACCAGAAAATGAAGCATGAACTATAATAGCATCTGAGTCGAAAACATTTTCATATGTTCCATTAGGGTTTTCGACTTCATAAAAGTTCGGGTGTACTGGATATTCTGCAGGCTGATTTAACATCCTCAAAAATCTATACCATGCCAAGTTGTTATATTTTGTAGAAATATAAACGTCTTCTCCAAGGTCTTCTATTCTATTGATTTTAACAGTTGCATTTTTCCTGTCATATATAATATCGAGATGGTACTCTCCTTCGTCAATGTTGTACTGTTTTGCATATTCGAGATAGATATCGTTTATTTTTTCTTGAAAAGCTTGAAGAGTTGTTTCTAAGTTTACAAGCAAATTCACTTGTAAAAGTTTTCCCTGTTCAAATTTCTCATACGTATGTTTTTCTTTGTTATAGTATCGAATTTCAAAAGCGACCGTAAATGGGAAACCATGTATGGCTTCTGAAATGAACTTCATTCTACGAAAGCCAATAGCTTTTGTGACGGATGGGTCTCTTAGCCATCTTAGTGGGTAGTCAAAACGATAGCCTTCATGCTTTACGGTCTCTGTCTCAAACTTTTGACCGACATTCGTAAAAAGTTCATCTAATGGTTTAGTTGTAGCAACTCTTGAATTTTCTTTTTCTATTGAAAGCATATTTTATCTAGAATAAAAATGTCAAATGAAACAGCGTCTATGAGAGAAATAAAACACAACCGACAACTCATTTTGCAAGCTCTAAATAAGAACACAACAAACTTTTCAAACTATTCTAAGATATCTGAGTCATTGAAAGAAGGAAACTTAAAACTGACGATAAACCCAATGACAGACGAGTTTCTGTTTCAAGACAATAAGAACCATACTGTTTGTATAAATCCAACAAAAAGAACTTTAAACGAGAAACCTATAGATGAACTTCTTTTGAAAGCAGATGTTGACAACAAAGCTGACAAAGAGTATGTAGACGATGCAATAGCAAAAGAAGAAGAAAGAGCAGATGCAACATATGCAACGAAAGAACATACTCATCCTGAACTAGCAGACAAAACATATGTTAACAATAAAATGTCAAGTGAAGTGACAAGAGCTGAAAACGAATATTCTAAAAAGACTCATACACATACCATTGCAAATATTACAAACTTACAAGAAACCTTAAACAGGAAAAGTGACGTTGGACATACACATACCATTGCAAATATTACAAACTTACAAGAAACCTTAAACAGTAAAAGTGACGTTGGACATACACATACCATTGCAAATATTACAAACTTACAAGAAACCTTAAACAGGAAAAGTGACGTTGGACATACACATACCATTGCAAATATTACAAACTTACAAGAAACCTTAAACAGGAAAAGTGCCGTTGGACATACACATACATCTTCTGAAATAACAGACTTAAACGTTAGCCTTGAAAATAAAGCAGATAAAACATATGTCAATGAAATATACCAAAGTTTAGTTGGAACAAAAAATATTGAGACTATTGTTGGTGACCTTTCTGTCAATGAAGAAAATAAATATTTTAGATGGCAGTTGGTACAGTCCTTAGAAAATGGTACACGGTATAAACTCATTCCGAAAAATAACAATGAAATGTATGTAAGCTATAAAAAGAACGATGGTACACAAGTTAAAGTTCCATTAGACAACAACTGCTACTTAAACTTCTATGGAGACGAACAAAAGAAATATTTAAGAGTTTATGAAATGGCAGATATGACATTGCCTGACCCAGCTCCAGCACCATATTATTATGACTATGGAGATGACGTTAGAACACCACATGTAGATGAACAAAAGCTAACATTATATTTAGATTTTTATAGATATAAAAGATATAATGCAATAGAAAAAACGAGAATAGTATACTATTATGAAGATGACAGAAATAAATATTATAGTCAAGACTTTACCTACCCTGAAAACATAAGATTATATTATAAAAAATATTCTAACACAAACCAGAAGAAACCAGAAATAGTTGCACTATATTTTAAGTTCAAAAGAGACAATCCTATAATATCTCATATGTTTGATTTAATGAACCCAGTAGGTTCTATTTATACATCTATGGAAGCAAGAGGTCCTCAAGTAATGTTTGGTGTTGGTGCATGGGAACAAATAGTCGACAGGTTTTTGTATTGTGCAAACTCTTCAAAGGAAACAGGTGGAAGTAAAACGATTTCAGGTGAAAATTTACCTGCACACAGTCACTACATAGATTTAAGTACATCTCAAGCAGGTTGGCATAAGCATAGATATTGGGATTGGTCAGGAATGACAAAAGGTAAAGGATATGATGTTAAAGACGACGTTAAGTTTGCCATAAATTGTTACTGGAGTGACACTCAGGGAGAAGGAAACCATACACATTTCGTTTCAGGATATACGCAAACAACGGGACAAAGTAAAGAATACATGCCACCTTACATGACAGTTTACGCATGGTATAGAATTGCTTAGTCGTCATTTTCAACTTCTTTAGCATATTCGTCAGGAGTTGTCTTATATTTGTTAGGAACTGTCTTTGAAAGTATACCACCTTGAACTTTGACAAGTTTGAAACGAGGTCTGACAATAGTAGTTTTATCTTCTGCTTGCAGTCTGTACATTTTGCCATGTTTGCCTAAAACTTCATAATATTCTCTTGTATACTTTCTTCTATTTTTTACGAACACGAATGTGAGTACCTGTCGAGTTCCCATTGTTGTCATAGTCAATAGTATTTTCATATGGGTCGCGTTTAGGTATTTCTATTTTTTTTGTCACCTTTCTTAAGTTTGAAGCCTGGCATTCTTTCTTGTTTGTCTCTTTTGACTAAACTATTAAATATATAGTCTTTCTCTAAGTCAGGGTTGTTTTTCATTTCTTCGGGGAGTGGTTTCCCAAACCTTTTTGTTTACGGCTATTGTAAATATTTAAAACTTGTCTCATCTTTGCCATGGAGAAGTGTCTATATTTGTCGTCATATGACATTTCATCTACCTCACCACCTTGTGGTTGATTTAAGTCTCTTAAGATTTTTATACAACTGTCAATGACACCAAGAGCAGAATGGTTTTGGTCGACAATGAAATATTGGTTTACATTTTTTGAACGCAGATAGTTTTTAATATCGTCTGATTTGAAAGAACTTTCACAGTCAGATGTCAGTTTTGTTGGATGGTATTTGTCAACGAATATTGTCAAAGCAGTTTTCACATCTAAAATATTTTTGGACCATAATGGTATGGCTTCACAGTATCTTGTGTTTTGACCGACAAATATTAGCCAGTATGGTGGTCCATCTTCTCTATACCTCGGAATGTTTTCCAAGATATCCATAAACCAAGCATTTGGTGTTGAACTAAAGATTTTTATCATGAGTGCTTTTTTTGTTGCCTTAGAAACATAGGGGTCCTTGTTTGGATTCGTCATTTTTTAACCCATAAGAAATGGGTTTATTTGGCGCATTAGCAGGAGTTGCATCCAGATTTTTGCCCGCAGTGGGAACAATAGCCAGAGGTGTATTTGGAGTTGGAAGGAAGATTTTGAGTACATTAGGTATACTTAAAGAGAAAGCACAACCTATTATACAAACTGTACAGAAAGGTTGGGATGTAGCACGAGATGCAGCAAATCTTATTCCAAATCCTGAAACAAGAGGAAAAGTTCAAGGATGGATGGACAATGTAGGAAGACAAGCAGGAAACTACTATAACAAAGCAAATGACTACTATAACCAAGCAGGGCACTATATGGACCAAGGTGAAAGATTCTTTAACAGAGGATATAACCATGCACAACAATGGGTAAACAATAACCAACCTCAACCGCCTCAAACGTGGGGAATGTAAAGTTTTTTACTGAGATGAAATGAACAATACAGCATTGAGACAAATGGGTTCAAGATGGATTTGTCGGCTTCCAGCAGTTACACAACGTGTTTGTCAAGTTCTTCCTATACCTCAGGAAGTTTTAGACCGACTTAAAAAACAACAACAAACCAGTTGAAAACAAACCAAACTAAAATTTTTTACTGAGATGAAATGACCGAAGAAGTTGAAACGGTAGATTTGACACCACAAACAAAAAGTTCAGAACCATTGTCAAAACCTGTCAAAGAACTTACAGATGAAGAGAAAAATTCAATAATAGAAAGTGCCAGGTCTGGAAATACAAACCCTAACTATAAAGTCACTTTTCATAGAAATGGAACGGCTAGTATCTCAAAAAAGAAACAGACTCTCACAAATAAAATATTGAAGTCTGAAGGAGCTTTCGAGACAACAGATGGAAAAGTTTACTTCACTGACCAACAGTTCATTATAGAACATCTCATTGACTTAGAGTCGAAATATTCTAAACTTTACAACAAACACAAAAAGTTGAAAGGAAAACAAAAACAAATGGCATATGATATTTACGAAGATGTTGACGACACAACCATACCTGCAAGTGAGGTAAAGTCAGAGGAACCGAAAAGTGACGAAAAACCGATAGAAGAAGAAAAACCAAAAACTGAAGATAAACCAAAACCAAAGTTTAGTTTCCAAACTAAACCAACTCAACCTTCATTAGCTGGTATGGGTTGGCGTCAAAGACTTCTGGTAGCAGGAGGTTATGTAAAGTAAAAGAAAAAAATATTTTTAAAACAGTATATTTTTTTATTTTTATTTGAACTGTACGCTGAGTTTGTTGGAAAAGACCGTTGGGAAACTTGTTTGTTAGACGATGAAATATGAAATGGCATACCATTTAAAACAACATATTTTAAAAAAAATATTTTTTATTTTATTTGAAATGTACGCTGAGTTTGTTGGAACAGACCGTTGGGAAACTTGTTTGTTAGATGAGAAATATGAAATTCACTGTTGTGAGTCATTTGAAGTCAGAAACAAAAAGACAAAAAGAGTTTTAAGCGGATGGGAGGGAAATGACGGATATGCTCTTATGAAGATGAGTGGAAAAAACTATTTTAAACATGTTGTCATTGCAACTCATTTTATACCGAACCCTAACAATTTACCTTTTGTAGACCATATAAACCGTATAAGAAACGACAATAGACTTGAGAACTTGCGTTGGGTCACTCGTTCTGAAAACAATAAGAACAGAGGCAAATTTGGAGATATTGTATTCGAATTTGTCGACGAACTAGAAGATGAAGCAATTGAAATTACAGACTATGGCAAGCATACGTTTGAGTTTTACTACTATAGCGAAGAACAAGACTCTTTCTACTTTTATACCGGCGTAAACTATAGGAAATTACAAGTATGTTTTACTAAGGCAGGCTATGCTTATGTAAACACTAGAGATACAGATGGAAAAAACGTTCAAATACTTCTTAACAAATTCAAGAAGCTATATGGCATACTATTTTAAAACAATATATTTTTACATATATTAAATGCTTCAGGTTGAAAAACAAAGAACAAAAGTAGCAGATACAAAACCGTTAGACTATATCTTTACAAATGCTGGTAGGACTATTTCAGATGAAGAAATTTCATCCCGAATATACAGGTTTGACTATCCAATTCGTTGGCTTCAAAGTCCTTCAGATGCAAAGGCAATAGGATTTAGAAGAGTTTTGTTTTCAAAAAGAACTAACGCATTTATGTTCGCAGTATATTTTCATGGGCAGTATAAAGGTTCTGATGGTCTAATAGACAAATTTGACGAAATGAGAATCTTTACAGTTCGTTCAGACGAAAGTCTTGAGAAAACTCTAAATGACTTTCAAACTCAAATGAACAAATATTATTGGGAATTTCAAGAAAAATACGACTCTTTACTAAATGGAACATACTATCTGAAACTAGAATATGACAAGATGAACTCAACCGTTTCATTTCAAAAGATTGAAATTAACCCTCCAAGAGATACAGAGTTTTTATATTGGGGAGTAGACAAGCGTTCTTGGGCACAATTTCTTCGGTTACTAAACCAGAACGAACCATTACCACCAGATGGTCCATTTAAATTTATACTTCCACCAGCAAATTTGACAGTTTATAGAAACGTGTTTGACCCTCAAAATGTTATGTGTCATGCAAGTTTCAGTTCAAGCAACAACAGTTTTCTATGTATTGGTAAGGACTTTTATGACTTTGCTTCTAAATTCTACGAACCACCTAGTAACAGTTTCTCTGACTTTCAAGTTTGGTTCACAACAAATGGTGTGCAACATATTATTCCATTGTACTATGACTTTTATCTCGAATTGTCTTTCATATATAACTACGGAAAAGTGCTGAAAAAGTATTGAATGTGAAGATATTAGAAAATAACATTTTTTCTAACATCGTAGAAAACTCATGAAAACAATTTATTTTTGTGAATATGTAAGCGGCTCATAGCTCAGTGGTATGGGCTACCTCGTTAAAGGCGTCGAAGACCTCGGTTCAAATCCCGATTCGCGCAGGTTTTTTCCTTTTATGCAGTGAAATTTCATGTACATAGGTTACTTTGGTGTTAGACCCTAGTGAAGAAAATAGAACGATATAAGTTTACATTTGTAAGGTTACTTTGGTGTTAGACCCTAGTGAAGAAAATAGAACGATAGGAGTTTACATTTGTAAAGTTGGACGATAAAAATCTCTGCTACTAGCAGTACTGCTACTGACAGGAAAAGTCCTTCCATCAGACAGGAAAAGTTCTTCCATCAGACAGGAAAAGTCCTTCCATCAGACAGGAAAAGTTCTTCCTTCCGACAGGAAAAGTTCTTCCTTCCGACAGGAAAAGTTCTTCCAGTTGTCCGTCCGTAAACCATTCAAATTTTCGAAAATTGAGAACTTTTCCTGTCGAACTTCAGGAAAAGTTCTTCCTTCCGACAGAAAAAGTTCTTCCTTCCGACAGGACACAAACGGATGTCCGACAGGAAAAGTTCTTCCTTCCGACAGGACACAAACGGATGTCCGACAGGAAAAGTTCTTCCTTCCGACAGGACACAAACGGATGTCCGACGGTTAAGCCACAAACGAATGTCCGACGTC